GGGGGTTAGGGCGGGTCAGTGTCCAGGGGCTCGTTGGTGTGTCCCTGTCCTGGTAGCCACCAGAGCCGACACCCTGGGCTCTGCAGGAGCCAGGGAGTGGCCAGGATCTGGTGCTATGGGCGAGCAGGTTGGGCAGCAGCAAAGCGCTGTCTCTGATGGTGTCTGTCCCCGCAGGGCCTGGCCGTGCTGGTCCTGTTCTGCGTGCTGAATGAGGAGGTGCAGGAGGCCTGGAAGCTGGCCTGCCTCGGCAAGAAGGGGCAGAGTGAGGAGGCTGCGAGGAGCACGCAGGTGGGTGAGAGCGGGAGCAGCTTGGGGACAGGCTGCCTGCTGGGGACAGGAGCCGACGGGGACAATGACGCTTCCCCAGGGGGATGCTGGGTGCCGGTGGGAAGCTTAACAGGGCACGTGCCTCTCTCCCCACCCTGCCAGGGCCCCAGCGCCTACAACAACACGGCGCTGTTTGAGGAGAGCGGGCTCATCCGCATCACCCTGGGGGCCTCCACCATCTCGTCGGTGAGCAGCGTGCGCTCTGCCCGCACCCACTCCAGCCAGCGCGCGTACCTCAGGTAGGGAGCGGCACGGGGCTGCGGGCTGCCCGGGCAGAGCTGAGGGCTCCTGCTGCGGTGACTCTTGAGGCTTTGTGTCTTTCAGAGACAACGTGACGGCACGTCAGGGCTCGGCCCTGGATCACAGCCTGCTGGCTCACGCCGGCCCCACGGACATCGACATGGCCATGTTCCACCGGGATGCTGGGGGAGGTAAGGCTCAGCCCGCTGCTGGGGTTTGGGGCCAACCCAGCGCATCTGGAATTAACTCCTGGCTTAAGGAATCCCTTCCCAGTGCAGGCTCTGGCTGCATGGCTGCATCCTCCACCCCGTGTTCAGCTCTGGCCCCCAAGCACGCTGTGGATATGAGGGGGGGGCAGCAGCCGTGTCGCTTAGCGTGGCCTCCTCCTGGGCCATGGCAGAGGGCATAGCCGGTCTGCAGGGAGCTGGAAATGGAGGAGGCAAGGTGGGGGGTTGTAGGCTGTTGTGGGGTCCCCGGGGACACTGGGCTCCCCAGTATAGCACAGGCAGAGTGAGACTGGTCAGGGCCACCCCTGTGGCCAGGGCTGGGACGTCTGGGACGTGGGACCCATGAGCAGGGGCTTAGGGAGCTGGGTCTGCTCAGCCTGGGGGAAGAGGAGGCAAAGGGGATCCTATGGCTGGCTGCCGGCCTTCCAGGGAGGTGCAGGGAGGTGGAGCCAGGCTCCTCTGCGGGTGCCCGGTGATGGGGCCGAGGGAGCGGGCTCATGCTGCTGCTGAGAGCAGGGCAGGGAGGGGTGAGGCAGGATGGGGGCCTCAGGGCG